TTACCATCATTCATGTTTCATCTTCTTATCCACCTTTAATTCACAGCAATTTTCCATGGCTATTTGCAAACACATTTATTCATACTGCTTGTGTCCTCCAATTCTTCCTGATTGTTACGTAAGCTCCATGAGGATGGGTATAAAGTCTATTTTTACACATAAAAGGAGCAATTGAAAAAATAAATTACAAAACATTGATTTTAATTTTTATCAGTTCTTACACTTTAGTGGTAGACTGACACTATTAACCTGTTCCAGGAGTTTATCTGTAGATAGTGCTTCATATTTTTTCTTGGTAGGTTACTAATAAATCCACGGGCAAATAAATATTCTAAAAGCTGTAAATATTATGTTGAATTTTTCTTATTACATTAAATATTTAGCTATATTGCATCGTGTGTGTTTTTCTGAAAGCTCATGTTTTAACATGTCTTATCAATTATAAAAATGACTTTAAAATAATACATATATTTGTAATTAAATTATTTAAAACTTTAAGTCGATCAAATCCCAAAAAATTTTGTAATTTAATGCACAAGATAAACTGTACATTTTTGCTTAATGGAGCTAAGCATTTGGTGATCTCATTCAATTATAAGTGCTAATCATAAACATTGATTTAAAAATCAGATGTGGTTCTGATATTTTGAAGTAGTTCTGTTTCAACATTTTTTGCTTCTTCAAATGCAATTGAATTCTGGAATATTAATATCCAATGTGATTGTTTGAATAATCAAAATTAAAGTTATTAAAAATTTGGTATTATAGAGGTATACATATATATCATTCTTAGATATAAAAATAATGAAAAATAGGGCTACATCTACATCATAAAATTTCTAATGTACTTCACTATTTTAGCAAAGTCAGAATCAATGTCAGTTTATATCTTTAAGGTAATTATTTAAAAAGACACATAAGTAATTAAAATAGCTTTTTATAGCTAAGCTAATCATATAAATAATAATGTTGAGTTACAAAATGCAGACATCAAAAGGTTGTATTCCATAGCTAACAGCAAGAACTGATTATTAACACCTATTTGAAATACAGTAACAAAATCACAGTAAGACATTTTATTGATATTTTTAAATCAAATGTTTCTTATAACAAAATCAATGTAACATTTTAAATAGACAGTTTGACCAATGCCTGGCAATTGTCTGAATACATGAGATTGAAGATAATCAGAAACGGATCCATATGTTTTTCTGTTGATTCCACCTGTAAACTTGTTTATGCAATGCTAATTCCTTGAAGTATTATTGTGTAATTAATATTCCATTATTAATTTTATAATCAATGACTATTATATAACAAAGACAAAGATTAACAGTATTAACACTATTTGGCTTCTAGTGTCTTTTATCTTTTAAAATATACAAATCAAACAGAAAAAAAATCAACTTATAATATTTAATCCATGTTTTAGGGAAAAAATATTCCACTATTTCCTAGAAAGAAAGATTGTACTCAAACCAAAATCTAGGGACTTTACCTAGATGTATCCTATAATTATTATGGATTATTGACTACTGTGTGCGTACCATTTTCTCGCTCCTAGATGAACATGTCTGTTGCATTTTTTCTATGATTTGGGCATGTGGGAGCCAGAAACCTTGCATTTTTATTTCACCATTCTTCAGACCACAAGTAACTGCAACAAAACCTGGAACTTTCCTTTTTCAGCTCCTGGATCTAATTTAGCTTACAAAAATATCCTATATAAGAATCCTGAACCTGACACTAGACTGCCATGAGACTGTTGTTTGCGTTGGGAAGACTGTTGTTTGCATATATTTCATGTCAGAGCAAACAAAATTTATTGCCAGTGGAAAGGATGTGGCTATTTAAAAATTTGGCAAATACCAGGTCCATTTCTCATTAAGAAGTGATGTGTATGGTTCACATCCTCCGCTCCATCCTCACCCCACCTTGAGGTTAAACAGGCTGGTGCATACCTTGAAAATGGAAATTATAAAATATGATTTCTAATACTAGGTCATAAAAGGCCATGAAGTTTCTGTCTTGTTTGCTAGAAATCTCACTTTTGGAGCATTAAGCCACTCTTTCACGATAATGCCTATCTAACTAGTGGCCACAAGTAGGCATTCTGTTAGACAGTCCTAGAGTACCTTATTCATGTCCAGGCTTCTTATAAACTTTGTGTGGAAGCATGAATTAGCTTTTTCCTTAGGACAAGTTTAGCCTTACTTGAAACAGTGTAGCTTTTTCTGGATCTTGTCTGAATGTAACAAGTGTTCAATGAGGATTCTACTTTCTGGCTGTTCAATCCTGAAAGTCTCCTAGTCCTATGTGAAGTCTTGGGAAATTTCAATTCACAGTTCCTCCATTATTTTTCATTTGTCATTATGCATTTTAACCCGGTACATGCAGGACTTAATATTAGTAGCAGAATCGTGGGAACATTTATGTAAATTTCTGGAGCTCTTTTCCTCCTAACTTTCTCTGCACCAGTACTCTGTCCAGCAAATTTCAGGGACCTCAGATTTTCCTAATTTCCTTCCTCAATTCAGCAAAAACATGGAGCTCTGGTTTTCCCTTCCTGCAGACTGGTTTGGAAAATGCTTCCAGGAGAATATCAGGATAGTTATGGGACTCACCCCTTTTTTCTCTCTTCTCTCGCAGATCATAGTCCTATGCTGTGTGTTTTGCAATATTTGAAAAAGTTATTTCATATATTTTATCCAGCATTGAAGTTATTTACAACAGGAGTGAAAGTTCAAACACAGTTACCTCATAGATGGAAGTAAAAGTCTCCAATTGAAATTTAGTAATTATCTGTACCATAGAAATAGGGCTGTGCATAAAGGAAGAATTCCTACAAAATATATTTTATGATTTAATTATCATAGTGGTGTTATGATTTTTGAAAATGTTCCAATATATAGTTTATTCTTTGTTAAATAAAAATTTCAGTAAAACCAAGGGAATCAAATATCATATAATATTACTGAAATACCATTATATATTCCATTAATTTGACATTTTATGTTTTATGAAATCTAAACATTTGGTGAAATCTAAGTATTTAGGTGAAATCTAAATATGAAATTCAAACACTTACAGTGCATTAAATGTAAATTAAAATTAAAATTTTACAATACATGGTATCATTTGGTGTTACAGGTTCAACAAAAGGAGAGGGTATGTATCTCTACATGAAAAGCAAGTAGAAAGAGCAAAAAAAAGCTTAATTGTTCTTTTTGAGAGTCAAGAGATAATTTTAAAGTAACCCAGACTGTCTTTTTTCCCTTAATAGTAAAATATTATTTAACATGTATACACAAATATGTGCATCGTCCACTTTGATGTGTGATTTTTTTCTTATGTCAAAATCTGCCTATTTATACAAGTAATGTTGGGAGGCCTGTATGCCAAATACGAAATCTAAACTTAGAATTTACACAAGTAATTTTTATATTTAATTAGTGTGTCATAAAATGATCATAGTCATATTGTTTATGCCTATAGTGAATTCTATATTCAAAATTACAATTGGTCTCATAAAGATAAATGTTTATTGAATAAAGTCTTGACAATCCCCTTAAGGCACTGTTCTTGTGTTTGATTGGTTTCTAAGGACCGCTATCAACAAGCTTGATTTTTTTTTTTTTTTTTTAATTTCTTGGTGCTCTAATTTTGGGATCTCTACTCCTCCATTTGGTTTAGAGCCGAGAACTGAGAAACAACTAGGAAAACCAACAAAGATTACGGAGAACCCTCAAAAAATGTACTTCAATGAGGAATCCTTCAAGATACAGTTAATTCTTGCAGTGGAAAAATATGTTGGTACTTTCCTTAGCTCAGAAACACTTTCCACAACAAATGTTATATGCAATATTTTGGCTGTTATAGGAAATGCAGGTACACTGTCCATCAATCAGATAACTTTCTCAACATCGTAAAAGTAATCACACAATTTGGTTTGCATCTATTATCAGTGCATGGAATGCTGAGAAACAATTATAAAAGGCAGTTGGGCAGCCGAAATATATACGCCCATGCTTTATTCTTTAAATCCTGTGGCAAGTTTTCATCTAAAATGTGTATTACAAACTTCAAATCTTAAGTCTATCGGAAATGACTGTAATCTCTGGAGACACCGAAGAAACAAGAAAACTGCTCTGCACTGAAGGACAAATTTGAAGACCGACATGACATTCGTATTGAGAAAGATATTAGCGCTAGGAAGAAGCGGTTTTTGAAATGTAAATTTTATCAAAATTATATATGCAAAACCTACACAAATGACATATGAGGTTCTTAATCTGTAATAATGAAGAAATTCGATTTTGAGATTTGCAGCCAGAAGACCTTTCTATGAACTAATACTTCTCTCCTTCTAACTGCCAGTCTTTCAATATACTGGCTAGAAGATGTCTTTGCAACCATTATTACTATTATTAATATCGCTAATAGGGGAAATATTTTTAATATGCTATATTGCTGACCTGGTAAATATTTCCAGGTATAATTGATTTACAATAAGAGGCAATACAGCCCAATAGTGAAAAGCACGCGCTCTGGAGCCAGACTAGATTTAAATCTTTGCTCTAACATTTACTAGGGATGTGATCTTGGCCATATCATTCAAACTCTCTGCGCCTCAGTGTTTTGTCTCTTGAAAAGGGGTGGAGGAGGGGAGATCATCACAGTATCTACCTCACCGAATGTGCCAGGAAAGTCACATTCATAAATATAAATAAAATGCTTAGCACAAAAACTGACAAGCAGCCCTGGGAGTCTGCCGTTATTATTATGCCTTTGTTGTTGTCACTAACGATCTGAAGAATAACCAGCGCTCTATAGGTGTATATCATGATCAGTAAATGAAGATGCTACGGAAAAGAGCATTCAGGAGCCCCTCGGCGCTGGCAGCGGGTTCTCGGAGCCGCGGTGATCCACGCTGGAGACCCACGCTCGCAAGCCCCGGCCTGGCGCCGGGCAGGGGCGCGGCGCTCGATTCCCTGCCCTGCCCCCGCGGCCCCCCCGGTGCGCATGCTCAGCTCCGCTCGGCCCGCGCCCTGGATCGATTCTTTTCTGGGCGGCCGCGGCGACCCCGGGCTGACTTGGGAATGGGAAGCGGCGTCCCCGGAGCTGCTCCCGAGGCGGCGCCGCTGTAAGGAGCAGCCGGGGCGGGGGAGGCGGCTGCGGCTCGCCGGTGAGTACCCGGGAAGCGCCACCATGGGGCTCCGTAAGAAGGGCGCCCGGAACCCGCCCGTGCTGAGTCAGGAGTTCATCCTGCAGAATCACGCGGACATCGTCTCCTGCGTGGGGATGTTCTTCCTGCTGGGGCTCGTGTTCGAGGGCACCGCAGAAGCATCCATCGTGTTTCTCACGCTTCAGCACAGCGTGGCCGCCCCTGCCGCGGAGGAACAAGCCGCGGGATCCAAGTCCCTTTATTATTACGGTGTCAAAGATTTGGCCACGGTTTTCTTCTACATGCTGGTGGCGATCATTATTCATGCCACAATCCAGGAGTATGTGTTGGATAAAATCCACAGGAGAATGCAGTTCACCAAAGCGAAACAAAACAAGGTTAACGAATCTGGTCAGTTTAGTGTGTTCTACTTTTTTTCTTGTGTTTGGGGCACATTCATTTTAATCTCTGAAAACTGCCTGTCAAACCCAACTCTCATATGGAGGGCTCATCCCCATAGCATGATGACATTTCAAATGAAGTTTTTCTACATATCCCAGTTGGCCTACTGGTTTCATGCTTTTCCTGAACTCTACTTCCAGAAAACCAAAAAACAAGACATCCCTCGTCAGGTTGTCTACATTGGTCTTCACCTCTTTCACATTACTGGAGCTTATCTCTTGTACTTGAATCATTTGGGACTTCTTCTTTTGGTACTGCATTATTTTGTTGAATTACTTTCCCACATGTGCGGCCTGTTTTACTTTAGTGATGAAAAGTACCAGAAAGGCATATCCCTGTGGGCCATCGTGTTTATCTTGGGTAGACTTGTGACTTTAATTGTTTCTGTGGTCACTGTTGGGTTTCACCTAGCTGGATCTCAGAATCAGAATCCCGATGCCGTTACTGGAAATGTGAATGTGTTGGCAGCTAAAATTGCTGTTCTGTCCTCTAGTTGCACTATCCAAGCCTACATAACGTGGAACTTAATTACTCTCTGGCTTCAGCGGTGGGTCGAGGATTCTAATATTCAGGTCTCATGTATGAAGAAGAAACGATCAAGGTCTTCTAAAAAAAGAACAGAAAATGGAGTGGGAGTGGAAACTTCAAACAGAGTAGACTGTCCACCAAAGAGGAAAGAGAAATCTTCATAATATTTGCAAGCTCATTGATTAATGACTGCAAAGGAATCTGCTCTTTGAGATTTCTTTCTGCACTAGAGATTTTTCTGTTTTCGACAATAGTTCGTGCTCTTTGATTTTTGCTATCGAACTGTTTCATGTCTTTTTTAAAGACATTTGAGGGGAGGGAGATTATTATGAGCGGGGGAAAAAAAAGATTTTGGTTGAGACTAAACTACACATCGTCAAAATAATGTTAAAATAGTTTCGGGGACCGCCACTGTAATTTGTTTTGATTTTTAACCTTTCAACATTTTCCTAATGATTTGCAGAGATAACCACACAGTTTTGCATATCAGTGACACTATTTCTTACTCCCACCAATCTTTCATAATACCAACAAGGTGACCTGCCCTAGCAAGTTTATGTGTTTAATGTTTGCTTTGGGGTAAAATAAACGTACTAAAAAGGTGGAAATCAAATCAGTATTCTCTAGTTGTTAGAATTTATTTTTTAAGAATTTACAACTCAGTCAAGATAGGTAAAATCACCAAAATAATAATGTTCTTCATTTTACAAGTAGTGATTATTAGTGCTATATCTCCATTTTTGAAAAATGTAGTACTAGTGGATAACACATATGGAGGTTTATTGCCATATATATTGCATCAAAGTATCATTCATTAACATAAAAATATTGCTGAAGAGTTAAACCCATTCCCGTCCATTCCACTTGTAAATGGGAATTAATGAAATTAAATATTACTTTAAAAAGAAAATTGGACTTAGTTTTTTTTATATTTCTTTATTAAAAATGATTCTTAATGCGGCCTTCTAAGATCAGTAACCATAGCAGCTTAGAAAAATATTGTTTGTATACCATATTGAAAAATAATACTTGGCATGCGTATAAAAAGAATGTCAGCTAATTACATTTGTAAAACATGAAAATTAGATAGTCACATGAAAGTCTTTTGAAAAATAAGTTATTTATTTTGTTTTCATCTTTAGTTAGGAAAAATTTATTTAAGACATATTTTGAAGATTTTTTACACACATACATATGTATAATCTGTATCTTTGCAGAAGCCAGTAGAAACAATGAGAATTAGTGGGTATTTATACTTATCGCCTCTCAATTCTTATTTCAGTTTTATTTCCATGATATGTCTATATACTTTTTCAATAAGAAAAATTATACTTTACAATATGCTAGGGGAAGGCCATACATTTTCTATTGCTTTGTATTATCCTTTGTAATTTCCTATTTCTTTTTAATTTCCCCTACTGTATCTCTTATCTCTAAATACTTTATAGCCAGCCCTCTCTTTGGTTTGCTTTATGTAATTCAACTCTCCTAAACATAAAGGGCCCTCAAAATTAAGCTTAACATACTTTTATTACAGATCACAGAAAAGCTACTCTTGGCAAAACATTCTTTTTTGTCTGCTTTCAGAAGCAAATATTGAAGAAACAGTTCATTTCTTAGTATAGAATCTATCATCTTACCTATTTTTTTTTCAATTACTGAACAATACTTGTAGCACATGTTGTGAGGTCCAAAGTAAAGCAACTGTTATGCAACTGTAAAACAAAGATTTTTACCTTTTTGTATGACAGAGAGTTATTTCTTTTAAACCATTCTAGCCCATTACCTGTAACCCCACTTCTGGTAACAAAAGTCTTATATGTTTTATACTTCTTTACAAATAAGTGCAGATCTGACTAAACCTGGAAAAATAAAAAATTTTTATCTGATATGATTAACAGTGCCAAGAGTTAAATTTGGCTTGGCAATAAATGTGATTGGTATTTGGCTCAATTTCCCTAGGATTTTACTTGGCTCTAATCACTTAGCTTTTCATTCTACATGGCAGCAAATAACAAAAGCTCTTCTGGGTTTTACTTCTTCAACCCTGTGATGAAGAGGAAGAGGAAAAGCCGAATTTCTAAAATTCCCAGTACACTGGGAGTTAACTTTAGTAAAGTCATTTGATAAAGGAGTATACTGGGCTGAGTGATGTAAGTTAGGTTTAATCCTTCACCTGTGGAAAAAGACAAAGCCCATTGTGTGTGTGTATAAGATATGAGTTCACAAGAAGAAGGAATATTATTGAGAAGAGAAGAGGGATAGATGCTGGCTACATCTCAACTACTCATAATGGTATTCCTACTCAATAAATATTGTCAGAAAATCAATATGTGCCAAATAAATTATGAAAGCAACATAACAAATGAAATTTAGCTCAATACAAATTAGGTATTTCTAAAAATTTGTTCACAGAACATTCATGCTATGATAAACCTCAGTGTGATGATTTGATCTGTGTTAAAATGGAACGCATGAAAACATAAATTTTCGTTTTGATTTGAGTTATTAAAGCGGCATTAGTTAACCCTGTGAAATCTCAAATATCTGATTAAGCACCCCCCACCCACCAAAACTGCAGAAATCCTAAAGCTATATCTAATATTTGTATTTAAAAACTTTCCGATTTATTTGTTTCAAGGTTTATCAAGCTTTTTACTTTAAATAAATCTACAGGTACAGTTTTTCCAGCATGGGGCCAAAGTATAAGTTTATTTTTAAAAAGTGATTCTACCAGCATTTAATTAACAATGTATAGCATTTGTTTTTAAACAAATACTATCAATGGATCATGCAACCTATGTATCTTTTAAGGGACAAACAAGTTTTAGGCCTCATTAATCTCTTACTGATAAGTATAACTATTCATTTATTTCAATAAGAAAAAAATGAACTTATAAAATACTTTTTCATTTCTCTTTCATCAATATTTGTTTATCTGGAGCAGAACCATGCATGCATAATACAGTATTAACTTGGAACAGATTCCAGAAGATTAGAGTTATCAATAATTTAAAGCTTTTTTGAAGACATAAAATATTCTGATATTCTTTTAAGGTGGAAAAATAAAGGTAAAGTTTAAGTTCTAACTCAATTAGATTAAGCGAGAATAATTTGTATAGAGTAACAAAATACTTTTTACCAATGCTTTATGCAGGACGTGTCATATTGGAACAGTTTGTTAGAGGAAGTTCTTGTGGAAAGCCATGCTTGGGAATGTTGCATATGAAACAGGCTAGTACTCGGGCCTTTGCACTGTGGCAGAGAATGCCCTCCACTGGGCGAGCAAACCTTTGTAATCTGGACACAATAGACAGTGTTGGTGAGTGTGCAGAGGTAATTAACTTCTTACTAACATCAAACCATCTGACCAGATAATTCAGTAGCATTTTAGTGCATCCCAGTTTTACAAAAACAATGAGTGTGTCATACAACCTACATATCTTGTGAAGGACAAACAAATTTTAGGCTTCTTTAGGTTATGATAAATCTCGGTGGGATGGTTTGGTCTGTGTCAAGATGGACCACATGGAAATAAATTTTCTTTATGATTTGAGACATTATTAAAGCAGTCATTTGCTAACTTTGTGAAAGTTCAAGTAACTGATTAACTATCAAAAACAGGTTAATCAGTTAAAAACTGGTAGGAATTTCTCTGGAAACAGAGAAAAAAATCACTGTCATCTTTCAATCGAATTTACCTTATGTGAGAAACTACTCACTAAATAAGGCAGAGTGGTACCTACTGATTACTCCAAATTATGTAGAAAAAAAGTCACACATCTTTCGTGCAAATATTATACATTTCCAAAACATTGAATTGGAACTTCCTTATACAGTCATGTAACTGTCAAAATTTTCTATCTAAATCCCTATTACCAAGTTCTTTTTAGGCCCTGCACCCTTTCTGGCAGTTTTAAGTATTAAATAAATGTGAAATAAACCAAACATTAAGAAATCTGCTCCTGAGGTTATTCATCTGGGTTTTCCTTTTTCCTGACTGGTGACCTTGCATTTTGTGTTGCAGCATTATGTCAGCTAAATTTTTCATTTTAAACTCTAAAAATACATACATTAATGTGTAAACTGACCATCCCAGTGGACACTTATGAGAAAAAGACAGTGGTAAAGTTTCATTTTAATTTAAAAATGAAAATGGTTAAATTAAATTCACACTAATGATGTGTATATCTTATAGCCAGCTTAGAAGTGTCCCTGTTAAGGGATTTGGTTACTCAATGAATCAGGAAAAATATCAATTTTAAACAAAGGGCAAGTTAACTCTGTAAATGGGATGTAAGAAAAGGCTCAATTTCAGCACCACCAGCATCATTCACCAACTCGAAGTCATGTCAGCATTGCAGAATCACATGGCTTGAGCAAAGTTTGCAAAAATATAGATCATTTACTAGTGCCTACCTGGGATTTCTCCCAAGCCATCACACTTTGAAAAACATTGACATCCCAAGATAAATGTAGTATCTCATTCTCTTAATGCCCTTATTGCTTTAACTACAGAAAAGCAACTGTCTTCTGAACTCAATCTTCAAATAAAAACAACCAATAAATATAAGGTTGTCAAAGTCCTCAACACAAATATTGAAATATGACTTGTAAGCTCTAAGACAGTTTTAAAAAGATGTTTTCATGGTCAGGCACGGTGGCTCATGCCTGTAATCCCAGCACTTTGGGAAGCTGAGGCAGTAGGATCATCAGGTCAGGAGTTCTAGAGTAGCCTGACCAACATGATGAAACCCCGTCTCTACTAAAAATACAAAAAAAAAAAAAAAAAAAAAAAAAAAAAAATTAGCTGGGCTTGGTGGCACACCAAGAATGCTGAGGCAGGAGAACCACTTGAATCTGGGAGACAGAGGTTGCAGTGAGCCTAGATTGTGCCACTGCACTCAAGCCTAGGCAACAGAGCCAGACTCTGTCTTAAAAAAAAAAAAAAAAAAAAAAAAAAAAAGTTTTCAGGTATTGTGATATAAATTCAGAAGAGGAAGGTAATAAGGTGAGTACAAATTAATGGCTAATAACAGAGGTTGGGGCAAGCCTCTGCTGTGGCCTTCAGAGCTAGGCAAACTTTGGAAGAGACTTCAACATTCTGTCTTGAATTATATGCCATTAAAGTGACAAAGATACATATCTCAAAATCTGCTGTGAGGATTAATAATATATACAGATACCATGTCATAAAGTTTCTTTATGCATGTGTGTTAATACAAACATGTTACTATTTTTATATTTGTACCACAAATGTGTATATTGTCTTACTTAATATACAATTTACATACTTATGAGTGTCTCTGTTGATGGATAAATACATATATCTACATATGTACACACATTTACAGGTTTTCTCCTATATATTTATTTGTTTAATTTTAATGGATTTTGTTTTTTAGGGTAGTGTTAAGTTCACAGTAAAATTGGGTGCAAAATATAGCGCTCTAATACCTCACACATAGCTGACCTCACGCAGAGTGCTTTCCTCACTATCAACATTCCACCTCAGAGTGGCACATTTATTGCAGTTGGTGAACCTATGTTTACCCATCATTATCAACCAATGTCCATAATTTACACTAGGGGTTACATGTATTGTACATTCTGTGGAATTTCACAAATGAATAATGACATGTAACTACTATTATCAGATCATTTGAAGTCATTTGCTCTAAAAATCCTCTGCGCCTCATCTATTAATCTCTTCTTCCCATGAAGATTTTCACGAATTGTACAAATGTATGCCATTGATTTTTCTGTCATGTCCAGGTAGGAGGCAATAGAAAATTCAAGTATAGTGAATCTATTTTCCTGTATATGAATTTTCAAAGACTAAATAATGGACATTACAAATACATATATGAGTATAATTAAAATGTACAGAAATTATCTTCTGAGTA